AAAAGTTTCGCGACCCCCATGCAGTGCCTCCGCGGACCCCCTAGGGGTCACGGACCCCCTGTTGAAGACCTCTGCCATAAAGAATATAAAGAAATACCAAACTGAAATATTGTTGTTCTCTACTTCAAAAACGATTAAGATTTTAAAATGGGAAAATTTACTTCTTTTTTTTTTTATAATTTTCTATTTAAAATTCAATGTATAACATGGATAAATAAACACTTCATTTTATTTCAGTGTTAAATTCTGTTTTAAGTAACAGATTATAATTAAAAATGTCTCCGGACCTTTACTGGTTGATGATTTTCTTTATTCGGACCGCACTGATTTTTAATTGGTTCCCTGTTTTAGGGGATAAATGTGAAGTTTCAGGGAGATCTTTGTAGGAAGACAGAGGATCATACGGACCTTTTTATGTAGAAAGAGAGTGTTTATCAGTCAGGATACAAATTAAATGTATCAATAATGGCAACAAAGAGAATGATGAAAAGCAGGTTTAGTTTTTTTTTTCATAAGTAAAAAAGAAAGATCCATTAGAAATATGCATATATGATGTACAGAGCCTTTTTCTCCTGAGCTGCACCTTTGACACAGTTTAAACTGTCAGCTTGTTTTTAAATGAGCACAGAAACTGGTTAAAGTCAACAGGCAGCGCACACAGACCTCGGGTCACAGGGTCCCTCATCGATCTCAGCCTTCAGCAACTCTGGACCACAAACCAGACAGTCCAGAGCTCAGACTGTTTCTAGGAGTACGGAGTGAACTTTGCTCCATTAATGTTGCAACCAAAGAACACACTTTGCAAATGGAAGTTTGAAGAAAAATCCAATTAAGTGGTTAAACTTTTCACATATTTCACATGTTATTGAGTATATTTTTCAGATTTTATATTTTCTAATTATATTTTTTTTTAGATTTCTCTTTTTCAGGTTGAGTTTTAGTGGTTGCATTATCTTCAGATTGTGCTTCACATTCTCTTCACATCTGGGGGAGGCTTTTCCTGGAGCGAACACGCATTTCTATTGGTCCGCTGGACGTTTGCACAAATGTTTCCATTTATATGTGAGCTTCAAGAGTAAGATTGGTATTGAGTTTAAGGTGAAGAGAGCATGATCTTCAAAATGCAATATGAAGAGTAGTGCATTACATTAAAAAAAAAAACGTTTTTTTTTTT